GTCGACGACTCTGTCCGCATGCCCGATGCACTTCCTGACCTTTGCGCTCTCTCCCCGCCCCCGCGCGTGATGCAATTGCCGTCTTACTCTTGTGGGAGCGGATCATCCTGTCGGATTTGGCCGAGGCGTCTTTGACTCTGTTGTGATACTCTAACAAAAAAGTCTTCTCGTGCTCGAAGAAGTCGTCCACGTCCTGCGGACAGAGAGCGTCAAACCGCGGGCCCCGCGCGGCGACAAACTCGGTCGGCGTGGAGCGGACGAAAAGGGTTACCTTGACGCCCGCCACCAGGACGCCGTCCGCCGACTTCACGACATTCTTGAAGAAGTCCTCCAACTTCTCCTTCTTGTTCTTCCCTCGCACGCTCAGCTGCGATCACAAGATGGCGACGTCATCGGCGGTGTCATGCGAAGAAACGGGTGACGGTACACATAGCCCTTTTGACGCTTTAGCCCATAGCCATGATGACCACGGTGTGGGCCACGTAGCACGGCGCTCTTTGCCCTCACGCTTCTTGCTCTCCCAACTATGCCAACTACGTTTTACGAGTGAAGCGCTAGATGTCACCGGTCATACCTGTCGCACCCCAGTCGCGAACGATCGCACACTTTTGCCTCTCGAGTAAAATGTTCAGGACAAGGTTCAGCCAGACATCAAGCGTATCGAGCAAAATGCCGAAGCCTTCCCCATTTGGCCAAGCTACTCACATCCTGGTTGTACTCCAGGAAGACGTGGAAGTTGAGGTCCTTCCTCAGGATGGGATGCGCCGCCACGCGACACAGGAAGACCTCGTGCATAGCCACCGTCTTCTTAAAGATGGCCAGGTACTCGCTGGGACAGAAAGTGAGGCCCACGCGGCCGGGAGTAGGGAATGACGAATGGGTGAATGCTTCCAAACGCATTCGGAATCATTCATCATTCTCAGCTCCCGAATCGCGACGTGGGGATTGGGAGTCCACGAAAACAAAGAAAGAAAGAAAGAAAAAAAATACTCCGACACCCGAGTCGGGAGTGAGTGGAGACCGATTCCCAACTTGAGCAGACGGACTCACGCTTCGAGC